ATGCCATATGCCTCTGTAAGTTGGATGGGTAAATTGGAATGTGAAAAAGATCAGTGCTATCGGTGTGGCTTCGTAGCTCAGCTGGTAGAGCATGCGCGTACAAAGCGTAGGCGGTGTCCATGCGTGGGTTCGAATCCCACCGAAGCTACTGAACTTTTCACAATCGACATACAAACTTCAAATCGGCCAAACAACTATTTGAACAAATATATGTGGTCAGTTGGGCGTACGCGAGCAGACGTGGTGACGCGCCAATCAGATCGTGACCTTGACACTCAGGTTGATGGACCGGACGACAGCTATTTGATTTGCCTTAGTCATCCAATCAGGATTCGATTCGGCTTGGGCGTCACGAGCGCACTTGTGGTGTGACGCGCGTTGCTGCGTGGCAGGACGGATTTTGTGCGCTCCGTCCTAACAGTATGTTTAAACCGCGATCTATTCGGCCCAGGTAATTGGATAATAGCAGGCAGTCAAACGTTCAAGGTGTATAACGGAACTCAATGGTAAATCAAGCAATTAACCTCTACCAAAAGCTGGAAGTGGTTTTGTGACAAACGAAATTCTCATCGTCTTCATTGGAGAGTGATGAACCCAGTACTGTTGAAAAAGCACAAACTGGGGATGGGGGAAGAGATGTTAAAAAATGTTTGAATACTCCTCAGACATCTTGGATTACAGTCTTACGTTACTAAACGGAGTGCAGCATCAGTTTGATGGTCGCAAAGATTGTGATACTATTTCAGTCGGGAACAACTTCCGTTCTAGTTATTTCGAACAATTGTTCTCCTCGGCATTCAAATCAACTATTCTTGTAGAGAATTTTAATAGTGAGAAATCATTTCTGGCTGGTAAGTCGTTAAAACAAAAAAGATAGCTGAAGACGAATAAAAGTAGAATGCCTTGAATAAGGATACAAGCAAAGCAAAAGATCGTATTTTATAGATGTTTTTGAGTGTCGTGATATATTTATTACGTTGTTACACTTCATCAATTGTCCAAATAACCAAGCACAAAAATATCTCAACAGTGTGTTGCGAGTTATGGTGTACAGCATCGATGATGACCCTACAGAAAGCAGTTGCATTGTAGCAGTTGAATCATTTAAAATGTAAGTAGTTTCAGGAGGTAGGAACAAATGACAAGAAAGGTCTGGACTAACAATTTCAGCTTAAAACTTAATTGTTGAGGTTTCAAAGCAATAGGCGATCAGCTGCTTTATTCGCCTAGCGCATGTCTTGTGGAATTTTCTTTGGAAACTAAAATCAGTTAGAAATGAGTATTTTCGAAGTGATTGCGTGATACGGGTATTACGGCGCAGGTCATTGTCTGCAGACTTCCACACACACATACACACACACACACGCACAAACACACACATTCCCCATGAACTCTTTAACATAAACATTTCCATTTCCACGAACAATTGATTTTCGAACTATTCAAAATTGAGTAAATTAAACTAATTCTAGCAATCTCAAGTTTTGATTTGAAAACCAAATAATACTGGTCATATAAGGCAAGCCAAATAATGATCGACCTGGCATCATTGAATTCATTCCATGCTTGGCCTATATAAGCCAAAGATATCAGCAACTGGATGATGTTCATTAGGGGGAAAGGTCATCATAAATCTGATTCATGAAGTGCAATTTGTCTAAGTTCAGCATTCCAAGCATTGTAGAATAACTTCAGACCATTTTTGTGTGTACCGTTTGACACAATCAAAGAATCACCAACGTAAGGTGAGGAACTTGTGGCTTTTAAAAATCTTGGTCGCATAAAATGGGATTTATATGAAAAATCCCTTATCAAAATGAACAATTTGAAAAAAACATTCTGCTATATTTGCGCAACCAAACTCAAACAAATGTGTGAAATATGTCCCATTCGCAGTCCAATCCACTTTGACCTAAGGCGCCGAAAAACAAATCTTACCACAGTGAATTCGAATTCAGATACGGAAGTTCCCGTGCAATGTAATTTGGGTTCTGATGCTTTCTCACAATCCCTCTTTTGCTCACTATGTTGTTCATCGCCATTTCCCGATTCCGGTCTTTCAACTTTCGTTGATCGATTGTTTTTCTTGCGTTTGACTTTCTGCAACTGTGAGCAAACGAAAACATTAGCTTCCAGTCAGCCCAATTTTTCGAAGCTTTAAAGAGTGTGACGTATTGACTTAAATTATAAACTTTCAAACATCCTATATTAATTGATGATGATGGTTTACTGAACAGATAGGGGCTGACCATCGATCTTTTCCAACTGTGGCTTTATGGACGGGAAAATGATACCCTTAATCTTAGATAACTGTAGGCCAACAGTCAAAGGTCTACTAGAGGACGAAACAGCAGCCGAGTCGGGCAACGGTTATCGAACTGGAACACGTGACCCCCCAGGGGAAATGCGGTGTTGATGTTTATCTGTTGTCAGCACTCACCATTGGGATAATTTCGTTGAAATCTCAACGTTGGTATTGAGTTGTTTAAACCTTACAACGTATTTGGATACGGTCAATAAAATTTTATGAAAACTAAAACCTAATAAGCCTAATAAATAAATATTTTGATGGCGATGATCAAGCAGCCTCACCCGCCATAGTATCAATCTGGATACCGTGAGTTAGACTGTCATGACCGTCTTTTAAGTTCACCTTTCTTTATTCTTCTTTGGTCAGCTCTCCGGCCGCACCCCCTTCCTTTCTTCAAGATTGCTTCTCAAACGTATGTTCAATATAAGTAACTAAAAGAGCAAATTAAAAATGATGAATATGGTATTGCACACGCTAGGTGACTCAACCCATCAACAGACTTCGTAAAATCTGGGAGTGAGAAGTATTCGACAGATAAAGTCAACAGTGGCCAACCTAAGACCTCGTATGAGGGTATGAAAACCTCAATCAGGAGATTCGGTTATATTGGTCGCGGTCGGCTCACTGGATGGTGATCTCGGGTTCATCGTAACCGATGGTTGCAGACACTGAGTGATTTAACTGTGTCTAAAACAGTCCCACTCGTGCCTCTGCTCATTATCCTTGTAACCTTAGTCTATGCGAATTCTCCATCTCCAGTTCGACTCTACTCTCAGCATTTCAATCTTACTTCTGATCTTTATCCAAATGGACAACCAAAAGACAGCAATCGAAACCGACGTATGAAAACGCATGACTGCAAATCCCAACCAATCACCTGCATGTTTGTGTGCAAAAGGAAGTTCTGCATGCTTGAAAGATCAAACCGCTATTCAAAGTGAGCTACGAGTTCCATGTATTGAATGGAATTCAAAACTAGAAATTCGGTCAGGCTAGCAAACACAGTAGTAGTAGTAGTAGTAGTAGTAGTAGTAGTAGTAGTAGTAGTAGTAGTAATATGCATGGAATTCGGAACACGAACCACGCAATACGTATCACGGAACACAAATCAAGGATCAGCTATCACGGACTGGATCACGGAAGCACTGGACCGCAATGGCACTAACACGCAATGTCCCATATAACTGAGATGCCAGGAAAACGCCACAGCAATGTTGGTTCATTTATTGGAAGAAATGAGGGTGAATAAATAACATGTACAAAAAACGATCATTGGTTATCTCCAGGCTTCCACCAATCGCATTCCAGTATTGTTTGCATCATTCTACTTCTGTCTGGACTACACTGTATCGGATTGGCTGACACGATTTGCCTGTGGTGTGTAGTCAGAAGCAGTGATACGTACGCGCGTTATTGACATCACCTTTGACATTTGATTGATCGCAGGTGTCCCAAAACTGTAGCTCGCCGCTCCAGGGTAGGCGTCATCTCGTAGGCCTGAATCACCACAGTAGATATCAATGGATCCTTTAACTTAACTACTTACCACTGAGCAAAACTACCGATTAGCGTAACTTCCTCATCCTACCACCAACCCGTGTCTAAATTCACGGCATATTAGTTTCACGCCAACCGTGGTGATGTCTAAAATACCAAACGGACTACTCCTGTAGCCATCAGTGCTTTGATCTCAACCCACAATCCTTTAGCCAAGACTCGTATTGCCACGATCCGTGGTCCTTTAGTCTCGGCGCACAAACTTTAGTCACGTCACAGTATGCGAGTTAGATCGAAAGGTACCGGAAAATTCTGAGGTCAATGAAAGTTGAAACGTTTTATTTTCTTCAAATTTTGATGTCGCGAGGCTAGGTAAACCAATTTGCTGTCAGCTGAAAATATAGATAATAGACATTTGAATAAGCATTTGTGAAAGCCACCCAGTCGTCATCATTATCTTCATCGGTTGCGTTCAACAACAAAAGAGCTAGAGTGAAATCAGATCGAGATGCGGGATGACCGTGTCTTAACGATGACCTGATCACCGAGAAGTACATCAGTGATTGCCAAAGGCCTATACCAAAGACAATACAGTGCATGGTTTGGGCTTTCGTGTCCCGTAAGGGAACAGTAAATGACCACAAGGATCACTCCTTCAGTTATCTTGTCATGTGACTGAAAAGTGATTCCTCAACGTAAGCTCATTAGCATAAGTAGCATCAGCTTTGACCAATATTAATATTAATGTTTGTTGCGTCCCAGGTCAAGCAGGTAGACAAGCACGCAGTAAGTTAAGCAGTACGCTCATTGTAGATAGCACACCCGTAACCGGTCTGTAGACCGGTGAGCAAGGAGAAGCGGGAAACACGTAAGAAGATAGGCAGACATACAGAAAAACGGCACAAGTGCCGTACGACTTCAGAATGCGGTCAAGCAGGAATTCGAACAGACAACGAATGAATCGGCGTGAACAGTCCAATACTAACATGTGATTGGCTGCAGCCGATCGATATTGTTATAGAGTCAGTTCGCATGACACGAGTGCGTGCGTGTGGGCTAGCTGACGGCATCTATCAATCAATCGATCAATAAGTCCATCCGGCCACGGGCAATCGTGACTAACATGTCAGTCACTTGTTGGTCGCAACAATAGTGAATAACAATAATCGCAATGAATAATAATAATAATAATAATAATAATAATAATAAATGGTGTTTTATTTTCAATCCATTTCCGACCAACTTAAATCTGTCACTTAGTGTAATACCTTATGCATTTATCATTGGACGGGTTGGCCACAAATTAGCAAGTACACTCCTTTATGGGGATATATCGGAGAGAATAAAAATTTCAGACTGGGCACTTACGTTTGTGATATTCGGACCTGTTACAAAAATGGCTTTTGATTGGTCTGCCTCACCATTTTTGAGAACACGCAACCTTTTGGGGATACCTGAATTCATCAAGGGCAAAGAGGATTGAGAGCTGAGCGTGGCGAACAAAGCTGATTGATCGACCCAAAGACGATAACGTATAGACGCGTTAGTTGAAACAGTTTGTATACAAAATAGCTGCAATAATGTTTCTTTACCAGTGCGCTTTCATTTGTAATTACCCTTGTTGAGTTCATCAGCGACAAAGTTCAACAAGCCTTGTGTTATTACCTGAAAAGAGGCTCTTCAGTGGAGTATCTGAAAATTATATGTCTAACTGGGCATGATAAAACACTGGTTTTATCCCTTTTGTTCAATATTTTAAAGCAGCTGAATGCCTTCAACAACAATAAACCCCGCAGTCCTGATTGAGTGCCTTCATTAGTCTTAAAATCATGTGCAAATCAGCTGGCACAAATGGCTTCATTCATCTCTTAGAAAACTATCTGTCAGAGGGTTGACTGACACATGACGTTTGATCGAATTATTATCAGAGCTGCATTCTCTTCTATTGATCTTTGTAATTTCAATTAGTTTGTCAGTTGTAAGAGTTGCTCTGTTGTAGATGCAGTTTTACGTATTACACGGTCCCTTTTACCCGCGTTCGTCAAAAAACACAAAACCGTTCATGTTTGCTTTTTGAACAACACAAACACCTTTAACTCAGTGGACATAAATACTCTCTTACAGTTACAGTAACAAAATCTACCGCCACATCTATTGAATTTGACACATGATTATTTTACTGACCAACGTCAATTCACTTGTTTTAATTTCATTAGGTCTTCCACGGTCAATGTAAATCAAGGCGTAGTGCATGGTACAATTCGATCCCCTTTTCATTATCTCCCTTTATATTCGAAATAAATAAATCACCCCACTGTTCTGTGGTGATCCAGGCCTACGAGATGACGCCTACCCTGGAGCGGCGAGCTACAGTTTTGGGACACCTGCGATCAATCAAATGTCAAAGGTGATGTCAATAACGCGCGTACGTATCACTGCTTCTGACTACACACCACAGGCAAATCGTGTCAGCCAATCCGATACAGTGTAGTCCAGACAGAAGTAGAATGATGCAAACAATACTGGAATGCGATTGGTGGAAGCCTGGAGATAACCAATGATCGTTTTTTGTACATGTTATTTATTCACCCTCATTTCTTCCAATAAATGAACCAACATTGCTGTGGCGTTTTCCTGGCATCTCAGTTATATGGGACATTGCGTGTTAGTGCCATTGCGGTCCAGTGCTTCCGTGATCCAGTCCGTGATAGCTGATCCTTGATTTGTGTTCGGTGATTGCGTGGTTCCGAATTCCATGCATATTACTACTACTACTACGACTACGACTACGATCACTACATGTTCTCGTATTTACGTATGCCGGTGACAGTGGTTGGTGGCGTATCCAACAACAGTCCTTAGGTTCGATTTAGGAATAATGTGATGGTGTTAAACGTTTCTTAAACCTAAC